CCCCCCCCCCCCATAAAAAGATACTATTATTAATACTATAAGACCATTTTCATTTCAATAATACTTCATTTAATGATTCATAATTTGAAGTTACAAAAAAATATTAGAAAAAGATTTGTTAACTTTAATAATATGTTACAAAAATATACTTTTTAACTTATGAACTTCGACACAATTCAAACAAATCGTTTTCATAGATTAGTTTAGATTTATCAGGCAGTGAATCGTTTGTCGTGCGTTCTGCAGCTGTTAACAAGAATTCGAGGAGAATGTAGGCATCGTCACTATGACAGGCACTCATTGTTTTCCTGTTGTGTAGTCGCCGAAACTACAAGTTGCACTGAACGAGAGTTTCAGTATCACGATCGTGATTATATTGACGTTACGACGTTTTGTTGGAAATAAATTGAATATAATCTATTTCAAGTGTACAAAGTGTTCCAAGTTGGAATTGTGGCGATCCAGCAAGGTCTTGCAAGATTTATTCCATGACAGGATCCCTTGACAGGGGTACGGTTCGGAAGGGGGCAGGGAGAGTCTAGTTTAAGAGGCAATTTCAGTTCATTGAATTTTTCGTTTATTTATCCGTATCAGTATTGGAAAATGAACATGTTCAAATACAATTTTGATAGTTTTTTATGTGGCCGAGTAATAGATGTGCTTTGCTGATTTACTGGTTATGTTTGCAAGAGAGATTTTTTAAAATATATTTTTACGCTGAGAACTGTTTATTCTGAGATTTTTCCGAATAAAAATGTTCACAGATATTTCGCCGAAGATCCAGGCTTCCCGTGTTATAGGATGGGTTAGGTTGGATTAGGTTTCGCTCGAATTCCAGTTGTCTGACAAGAATGAAAATTACGCCAGCTACTCTATTAGTGAGCGAGCAAGTCCTACAGAGAGTATTTCAGTGTTTCACGATGGGTCAAAATCAATTGTAAGACAAGAAAGTGATCTGAGCGAGGAACCGAGAAGTATCCAGGCCAGAGAGAAAACAGACGCATGTGAAAACGTACGTTCCATTCGTAGTTCTTTTCATAACTGGGAATATATTGGAATGGAGGAAGTGACGTGCGATGACATGCCCATAACCCATTAATATCTACCAGATCGATGAAACACTTAGAAGGTCGAACCAGAACAAAGGATATGTATTAGGTCGTCAAGGATGAAATTTGTAGAAAAAAAGGCAAAGTTGGTTGATAACTACAAATTTCATCCTTGACGACCCAATTTAAGTTCAATAACAATAGATACGTGTAGCCGGCTGTTGAATTAGAGCTGCTTAAACAAAAAAAAGAAGAGAATCTGCATAGGGCTGGGAAACAATCAAAGGACTGGGGATGGAGACACATAATTAGCGGGTGCTAGTTATGGAATGCAGGAAACTGGCTGTAGTGCACTTGTGAAGGCAGTAACTGCAGGTCGTCAATTTGTAAGTTTCAAGAATTGATTCTTCAAAGTACTTATGGGATGAAGGATCCTGGGAGCGGGGAGACAATGGGCGAAAAGATTGGCCACAGGAGACCCTGCGACTTACCAGCGTCCGAAATCGAATATATCTAATAGATCCGATGGGTCATTACACGATAGACTTTGTATTCAAGGCGACTCCGTCTTGAGCAAACTTGGAGGATCCATTTTTCCCTGAGGTGGGGAAAGCGGTTGCACGTACTGCCATGGGTACGATGGAGCCTTCATTTCACTTGGAGGTGGATATTGCTGCAACATATACGGCCATGGAACCACTGGAACCGGATAATACACCAGCGTATACGGCCACGGAACGATTGAAGGCTTCATTATATTCGAAGATTCTGCAGTATCTAGGTCCTCGTCCTCAGAAACCGCGGAGTCTTCATTGCTTTCAGTGCCGCATGACTTTGCAGCACCTACGTCCTGGTCTTGGGAAATTTCGGAGGCTTTATTGTCTTCGGAAACGGATGGCTCTGTAGCATCTACGTCCTCGTCTTTAGAAACCTCAGGGGCTTCGTCTTTAGAAACCTCAGGGGCTTCGTCTTCGGAAACCTCAGGGGCTTCGTCTTTAGAAACCTCAGGGGCTTCGTCTTCGGAAACCTCAGGGGCTTCGTCTTTAGAAACCTCAGGGGCTTCGTCTTCGGAAACCTCAGGGGCTTCGTCTTTAGAAACCTCAGGGGCTTCGTCTTCGGAAACCTCAGGGGCTTCGTCTTTAGAAACCTCAGGGGCTTCGTCTTCGGAAACCTCAGGGGCTTCGTCTTTAGAAACCTCAGGGGCTTCGTCTTCGGAAACCTCAGGGGCTTCGTCTTTAGAAACCTCAGGGGCTTCGTCTTCGGAAACCTCAGGGGCTTCGTCTTTAGAAACCTCAGGGGCTTCGTCTTCGGAAACCTCAGGGGCTTCGTCTTTGGAAACCTCAGGGGCTTCATCTTTGGAAACCTCAGGGGCTTCGTCTTCGGAAACCTCAGGGGCTTCGTCTTTGGAAACCTCAGGGGCTTCATCTTTGGAAACCTCAGGGGCTTCGTCTTCGGAAACCTCAGGGGCTTCGTCTTTGGAAACCTCAGGGGCTTCATCTTTGGAAACCTCAGGGGCTTCGTCTTCGGAAACCTCAGGGGCTTCGTCTTTGGAAACCTCAGGGGCTTCATCTTTGGAAACCTCAGGGGCTTCGTCTTCGGAAACCTCAGGGGCTTCGTCTTTGGAAACCTCAGGGGCTTCATCTTTGGAAACCTCAGGGGCTTCGTCTTCGGAAACCTCAGGGGCTTCGTCTTTGGAAACCTCAGGGGCTTCATCTTTGGAAACCTCAGGGGCTTCGTCTTCGGAAACCTCAGGGGCTTCGTCTTTGGAAACCTCAGGGGCTTCATCTTTGGAAACCTCAGGGGCTTCGTCTTCGGAAACCTCAGGGGCTTCGTCTTTGGAAACCTCAGGGGCTTCATCTTTGGAAACCTCAGGGGCTTCGTCTTCGGAAACCTCAGGGGCTTCGTCTTTGGAAACCTCAGGGGCTTCATCTTTGGAAACCTCAGGGGCTTCGTCTTCGGAAACCTCAGGGGCTTCGTCTTTGGAAACCTCAGGGGCTTCATCTTTGGAAACCTCAGGGGCTTCGTCTTCGGAAACCTCAGGGGCTTCGTCTTTGGAAACCTCAGGGGCTTCATCTTTGGAAACCTCAGGGGCTTCGTCTTCGGAAACCTCAGGGGCTTCGTCTTTGGAAACCTCAGGGGCTTCATCTTTGGAAACCTCAGGGGCTTCGTCTTCGGAAACCTCAGGGGCTTCGTCTTTGGAAACCTCAGGGGCTTCATCTTTGGAAACCTCAGGGGCTTCGTCTTCGGAAACCTCAGGGGCTTCGTCTTCGGAAACCGATGGCTCTGTAGCTTCTACGTCCTCGTCTTCTGAAACCTCAGGGGCTTCGTCCTGGGAAACCTTGGAGGCTTCATTATCTTCGGAGACGGATGAGTTTACAGTATTATTCTTCTCGGCATCATAAATATCGCCTAGTGCTTCTATAAATTGTATTAGTTCGTTAATTGTTATCCCAACCTGTCAACGTAAGTGAAATTAAATAGAATAAATAGTATTTCAGATGACACATCATTAGACAATAAGAAATTTTGCTTACATCATTGAGTATTGTATTCACGGTTGACTGCACATTCTGCATTTTTTCCATGACAGCGTTTTCATTTTCTTCTTTGAGAGAATCTAGGTTCCCGAAAGCTCCTTCTGTGACTTTCTCGATCTGACTTAACGTATCATTTAGCAAAATATCTATATTACTGTCTCCCTTAGCAAGGGATAATTGTAATTTAGGTGGAGGCAATGCCTGGCTTGTCTGAAAATTGTAATATTTCGAAAATGCAGTAATTAATTACAATTGCATATTTATGAAAAAATATATCTTATGACTTTTCACTCGTTTCATATTAAGCATATTGCGCTGAAAAACAGTATTTGTTATTGCATGTTTGGTTACATATACTTACGCAGGCCAGGAGGAGAAAGCAGCTAAAAATTGTTAGTTTCGCCATGTTGAGACCGCAGCTGAGACAGACTAGGACTCATATTTCGTGAAAGATGTGGTCATTATATGTACCATCAGTCGTGGGGTTGCTATTAGAATCTGACGCAAATCATTACCATTTGTGTCAACTTTGTTAATGATTTTGCTGTTCTTCATTTGACCGGGTAATGTAACGTAACTTATGAGACTATCATATTTGCGATATTTATACAATCTTTTAATTCCGTTTTGGTATCTTTCTATATAATATTTGCGAACATTTTGCGTAATAAGCAGTGTATTAAGAGCATAAATGTTAATTTTAATTGATCAATTCAATGTTGTTTTATTGATACAGATACTTTCTTACACGATAACAGTATTACACTTGTTTTAACAGATTGAGATTGCGCAATCTTTATATGAACACATTCTGAAAATCGGTAATTTGAATGCACTTGTTATTTATACTAGCTAGAATTATTATTTCGCTGTTACTCTCTTGGGATTTGACATCGGTGTACATGACATCTGGTGGCATAACATAATATTATTCGAAAGTTACATTTTTCATGCGTACTGTGAAGATATGTCAAATAGCGCAATAAGTGCACCCCGTTGAACGTAAGCCCTAGTTGGCGTCATTTTTAGCCAAATTTATTTTCCAGTGTCGTTATTTATTCGTTAACTAAACACCTTACGTACTTTTTAATACTGCACTATTTATAAAGTTGTAAACTGAGATTGTTTTCTAATTCTACATTAATGCAAATTATCGCCAGAATTTTAGACGTAGAAGATTTTTAAGCTAGGCTAATGAACAATAGTAGTACGAATTTTAACGGTCAATTGTTAATTATAATATAACAGTAGAACAAAAATTATTTTGTATTTCATTTCGAATGTGGCATTATATACCGATGGGTTAAAACGACTAACGACTACAGAAATGAGATATTTTAACAGCAGCTGGTATAAATTTTATTATGTTATTTAAAACCTATTACAGCGATAATTACGTATTTATGGAAAATAGTATAATTTTTCATTGTCAATAATTTAATAAAGCTACGGATGAGAGTGAGAAGGTGAGAGTGGTGCGGATTAAATTTCTTTGATCTTTACATTTCATATAAAATTTCGATATGCGGATCAAATACGGTGGTAACTATCTTACTTTACGTTACTTTAGGGGAATACTGTACATACATACTTAATTCTTGGATCAATTTAGTGCCTATTCATAGCAATATAATGAGCGTTCAGCCACATAATTTGTTTTACAGTGAAAAAGTTTTAGCAATTTATTGGTTATATCAATTCACGTTTACATATTTTAATGTGAATGATCATGAACGGTATTTAATTATATATAAGAATTATATTTTCATAGAAATTCTGCGAAACCTGCGGTGTTCATATACAAGGTGTTCTATTTTAAATGATTCATTACAATATCTGACGAACCTAGGGATTAATCGAAAAAAGTTTCCTATATAAGTAACATGGTTTAAAGGAGTAAAAAGACTATCTGCATGTTCACCAACATAATTAACAGCAAATATAAAAATGGGCTCTAAGGGTTCAAGATATATAAGAAATTACTCAAACGAAAATACAAGACACAAGAAGATGAATAGCATAGCGAAATAAGTAATGTAATAAAATATCAGAGTAATACAAAATACAGAAGAGATGGTAAAATTAGAAAGATAAGAAAGTCTAATAAATTATAACTGATACTCGGCTGCGTAAAAGCTTGAGAAGTGTGGTTCAGGGATTATTTGACCAATTCTTCATTGCCTCATTTCCGAACAGTAAAGAAAAAAAGTTTGCCTACTTTCTGCACAATACAATATACAATTCTTTTAATCAATGCATCCGATTGAATAAAAAAATTAATTTTTAAGGACATCTCCTTTTGTAAACATTGCTAGAACTAGCATCATTTCTTTTTTTTTGTCAGCTGCACGTACTCATTAATCTTCATAAATCAACCCACAAGTAATTATTCACGTTAGTGTAGCTCATCGAACTCCATAGAGAAGTTAGACGAACTAATTGACATAACTGACTATAATGATGAAAGTAATTCCTGTAATTACATTGATATCGCAGTAAAGGATATGATAAGTTTAGTGTAGCAGTTTGTAGTTGAAATTATACGAGCGAACAATAAACAACTTTGTTAACAACTCGAGTTATATTTATATGTCACAGCCATCATCATCGTCGTTATCCCTTTCTAAGACTTCATCCAAGACGCTTTCAGAGTTGCTAAACCGGTGGTATACAAATTCTAATCAGTCAATGATTAGACATGCGTTACAATAACATGAATATAAGTAAAACTGTAATTTGCGTCAATTATTATTGGAATGTGTACAGTAAAATATCATTATTGAAATTAAGTCATCCGGTTGGACTCGATCAAAGTATTTTAAAGTATCTCGCTGATCACGCCTAAGTTAATGATCTTTGCTAATATGAGATCATTCCATAGCAATACAGCTCTTCATGTACCAGTTCCTTGTCCCCAATCATCATTTGCCATTTATCCAGGACGAGGATGATCATTCAGATGGCTAAATATTTATTACCT